ATTCTTATTACAGAAATCTGTAAAACAGACTCATAGATCAGTTTATACATTGTATGTAGCAGACGCCATCTGAAAATTTGAGTTGTGCTGAATGTGATTAATCCCTATACTCTCTCCACCTGTTGCTCAACCAGTGCAGAATTTTAGATGCCCTTGGTCATGAATTCATCAGGCACAATTAAAAGTTCATTCATGAATACCAAAGAATCCTCTATTCTGACAGAACTTGGGTGGAAAAACTGATATCTTTTCCATTCCCTGTGGTGAAATGTATAAACAGAAACCTAAGAATAGATCTGAGTATGTCATGCCAGTAATGTTTGTACAATAAAACAACAATTCATAAAACTATTGTTTTCGGAGAGGATGATCTTTGAGGCAATGTCTACATGACTAGACTTTCTCTTTCTCCCAACTTCTCAACCCATCAATTCTACAGAGCAAATATTGTGGTTGTGAAAGTGAGTGTGTGTCCTATGTCTCAATTTCTATCCCATTAATCTAATGCCTTCTCAGTGTGATGGACCCTAATTAACACGGTTGCTGAAAATTATGAGCATTGAGGTCTAAGATATCTAAGAAAGTCTTCTTAGGAAAGAGTATTCTCTATAACTATTTTGTATCATTATTATGAAAATGGCTGTAATTGAAATAAATGAAATGAAGCTAAAGGTTAGATCATAACTGCAAGGAAAAGATGTATTTACACTAAGTTAGTGCTTGGGTTCCTAAGGGAAGTTGATGTTAGGAATGAAATAAATCAAGATGTAATTAAGATCCAGGGGTACACATTATGGTCAGTTCATACTGCCAAACCTGTTTCCATGTGATAGCTACCATCTGTGCAACTTTGCTCTTTGTTTTTTGGCCAATATGGGAACAGAATGCTGGATTGGGTAGGTTTTGGTCCAAACCAGTCCAACACTCCTCTAAAATTTATTCAAAGTGATAAAAACCAAAATGTTTGCAAAGAGCTTCAGAAGCGTCTCTGACAACTGGGTGTATGGTTAGCCAAATGGCAAATGCAATTCTGTTTAACTTCATTGAGGCAAAACCCTGTAGATTCACCTATATACTGACAGAGTCTGAGTACTCTTGTCATCAGGAAAAAGAAATTGAGGTCATTAATAGTGGAAAGCCCCATGAAAATGTTAATTCAGTGTAAGGTGTCTATGAAAAATATAGATTCCATGTTAGAAATCATTAGAGAAGGGCTTGAAAATAAAAGTGCCAATATTGCAATGCTTTTGTACAACTCTATGGTGTGCCCACATTTGGAATACTGTATACATTTCTGATTGCCCCATCTGTTAAAATAAATAACAAAGCAGAGACTTAATGCTCCTTTTTGAACCCTCACACACACAGAGACACTCTCAAGACAAAAAAAAAAATACTTCCCATTTTGAAGGATTCAGGAGCCAAAAATGGCTAAACCTACGGCATGGCACTCATCTTCTCCTTTAAAATCATCAAGCTTTTTTAATAACTCTTTATTTCAAAGAGCATTCCTATCATTATTTGTTATAGTCCCTATAACAGTTATGTTTGGAAGCAAGACAAGCTCCTCAAATTAAGCTCCTGGTTTTTCAAACTCAGGGGATGCAGAAGATATGCAGAGCCATATATATTTGTGAATTAAAATAATCATTAATTAAAACAATGTGACTGGGCTTGTGATATGACATATTTTTAACTGCAGTTGTGGAACAGTGAGGCACAGAGAAACTAAGAGTCTGTGAGTCTGTGATTGTTTTTAGCTATTATTGAAAGTGAGAACAAGCACTTTAGCCTTTGTATCACTTTGGATTCTGAAGTACATAGAAGGCCCCTGAAGATAGAGCAAGCTGTCCCTTACATGTTATTCCATTAATGTGTGAATTATAATTATTCTGAAAGACAAGTGTAGAGTTAAGGTGCCTTTCCTGTCTCCTGAACTACTCTCTCCTTGCTTCCTTCTATGTGGATGTAAGATACAGAAGCATTTTATAGAACAGCCGGAGAAAGTCTCAAAAATGTGGAGAAGGTTGAGAGGAGTTAGGACAGCATAAATGTCTATATATAAAATATATATAGAAATATTTCCTTTTCTGATAGACAACTATCATTGGCAGAGATGTTCTTCTAGATATTATGAACTATCTCAGTCATCCAGCTGCAGACTCTTCTTATTATTTCATTAATTTTTAAAATGGCTGCCAGACTGAACTCTCCTGAATGTATATCTCATCAAACATATGGTAAATCAGTCTAAGAATCAAAACAAAAATGTGCCCCCAATCTTGCTTTAGCATTTCAGAAAATGGGTTGCTTTACCTCTAGCTATTTTGGGAATTGCCTGCTTCATCTCTGATCCAAACAAAGCTCCCTTCAGAATTTCTAGGCTTCATATGTCTTCCTACCAAATGACAGAAGAGAAATAAACCACTTTTTAAAGTTTTTACTGAAATTTTAAATAGATTAATACTATTTGAAGAGTTTCCCTCCCCTCCCCCCCAAAAAAACCATGAGTTATACAATCATTTCTGAGAAATGTACGGTGGCTTTTGCAAATGTGGCTTCTCATTCTGAGGAGATGATGCTTGCCAAACTTCGGGAAAGTAAAAATTACACTCCCTAACCTACTTATAATGAGGGTTCAAGCTTTATTATGGCAATATTCAATATTGCTACATATTAGAAAGTTATTCTTGGATCAAACCCACAAAAACATATTTCCTGCTCCAGCAAGCTCAGAATTTGGGACGCATCCAGAAGATGAATATAAACCTCCACCTTTTCCCCCTTCTTGAGGTAGGCTGGAGTCATAAACAGAAGCACCCTTCTTATGACATGGGATTCCACTGCAAAATTTTAGTGTAAGTCACAAATATCCATTCTCAGCAATACACCTGTATGAAATTGGGCTGGAGAGAATTTGTAGCTGATTTTGGTAGCATTTTCCTGATGATGTTATGGTCTGGTTCATAATCTCAGCCTGTGCAAAATTTATTGATGTTACAAAACATCGGTTCATTTTTACTGTGCTTATTGTCCATGAAACTTTCTATTAAATAAAACACATAACAGGAGCCTTATTACTCAAAACTAAATTTCCCAGACAGGCCTGTGTGTCTGATCCAGAATAAGGAGGGGATGTAAAAGAAATGATGAATAAAATATATTTTTAAAATAGCCAATTTATTGCATAATGTGTCACTTAAACAAGTACTTTAGCATTACTTCTAATTTTATTGCCATAGATTATTTTTCTCACTATTGAAGTTTCTATGGAAATCCTTGATTATTTACAGGACAAACAGACCAATATGACACTCACAGGTTTAGACTTTGCTCTGGGTTATATTTTAAGCTGGCCACAAGATTTGAGCCAAACCAGAGCAAGATCCTGCTGATTAAAGATCCTGCTTCTATGTCAATTCATATCCAAAACTGCATCATTATCTGTTTATTAAACATCTTTGAAACTCAGATAAAGAGGAAAGAACAAAGGATGATGGCCAGTTGTAATGTATTTTAATACCCCATGACATTTAGCCTGTCATAATTGCTCCCTTTTCTAGTTCCATGTCCTTTCACAGATGTTTATTTGGTCTCTGGTACATTGCCACTCAGACAGCTTCAGATTTTATCACAGAATTCCTACTCAGAGCCTCTTTTATTTCCAGAATTGTTTGACCCATTCTGAATTCAGCTATTGTATGTGGAAGGTCTCACAAGGAGTGACAAACAGGGTAGTCTGGATGACAGCGAGCAGACACCTCATATTTGATATATGAATAACACCGAAACTGCAGTCACAGCATTGTTTTTTGATGCACCACTGTCTTTTGCACCTTGGGGTGATAACACAGCTGCTGGCCAACAAAAAGCCAAAACATTCTTGTTCAGAACAAAAATGCCTGGAGTTGTCTAAAACTTAGAAATCAGCTTTAAAATCACATTGGACACAAATTTACAAGGCCTATATATCAAAATGGAAAATCTCTGTTTTTTGTTTGGGATTTCAGATGGCCATAACATCCTTTACTGTGATTTTTTATTTGACCATGATAAGATTAAATATATGCAAGGATTTGAGTAATATTCTCCACTGCAAAAGATGGAAAAATATGAAATCCTAGCCCCGAATAATAAAACAGTTTTAATTGCAGCAATAATTGCCAATGTACTTCATTGTTATTGACCCCAGAGCAGTTCCAATAACTACATTCCAATGACTTCACCTAATTTCCAGCTATTATTTATTTATCTGTCAATTTTTTATTGCCACCCATCTCACAAGAAGTGACTCTGGGTGGCACACAATAATCATTGTTGATAATGCCAAAATATCTAGTGCTTCTTAATAACTGTGTAGCAAACTACAATTTTGTAAAATATACTGCAACATGTGCAGTTATTTATGCAACACAATTGTTTCAAACTGCCATCAGCAATCAGTGGTATCCAAATCCATTTTCATCTGTGGTACCTTACTGAATGGCTTGCACCAGTAATTCTCTCGATCCAAATTACTTCATCAGATTATTGGGGAGATAAAAACATGAGGAAGAAAATATCATAAATATTATTTGAGCACAGAATATAAATCTATTAAGTAAAAATAATCAATGAACCAATGATTCTGGAAATAGATCAAGTTTCTTATCTGTGCCAAAGAATGGCCAATGTAGCAAGATGCTTTTCTCTTGAAAATTTGCTTCTTAGCCTCTGTCTTACGCAACTCCCTTTTAATAAATTCTTTTGTATCTTCTAACCTCTGTTAATTCTTGCTCTGAATCTTGTCAAAGAACATTGAGAATTTAATGTGTATTGTGGGAACAATAGTTACATATTATAGTCTCCTTTTCACTGTAGTTTTATAATATTGGTGTTCTTTCTAGTTTCTTGTCTTATGCTTTGTTCTTTTTTCTCTTTCCTGTCTGCCTCTTTTACCTGCATCCTGCTCACTGAATCTGGGGCCTCTTCACTCCCCTGGATGGATCACCTCTGGACAGGGAAGGCCGTATGGTGGTGCTATCACTTGTTTTGGGGCTCTCAGAACAGGACGACTTTGCCAATATACCTGATCTACAAACTACTGGGAACCAGCAGAACCAGAATTCTCAGGGGGACAAGAGGTATGAGTAGGAGACAGAGGCTTTCAGCTGCAAGAACCAGCAAGAGGAAAGAGAGCCTTCCATCCTAGCCCAACGAAAAAATGGAAGGCTGGTTCTGGAAATAGAAATTCTCAACTGAGCCACTCTAAGACATCCTGCTGGCATCCTTGTTCCCCTGCTGGTTGCTGAGTTTCTCTAGGAAAATCACTGGAATCTCGTGGCTATTTTTCCCCCCCAAATGCATACTTTGTATTTACAGTAACTCACATAAATCCTAGTACATTTCTCCAATTTCATATAGGCTTTCACTTCTATCCCTGAAAATATATGAACACAGAGTATATGTCCCACTACAAGAATTTATCTATCTATCTATCTTTCACTAGCGTGCGCGCGCGCACACACACACACACACACACACACAAACTGAAGAAGAAAAGAAAGTCTCAGTTCCTGGGTTTAAGACTAGGCTTGAGATAAATCCATTTCATGTGATGATTGCATGTACTGTAAATTCAGAAATAGAGTGGAATTTTGTGTATCCTTGACTGAAAACTACATTTCTACTGAATGTCCTAGGAATTGCTTCCAAATATATTTATAAGAATAAATAGAACAGTATTTTTTGTCTACTTACCAAGATTTAACCAAAAAGGACATGAGTTGATTTTACTTCATAAAATTAGTTCAGGGTCAGCAGGTTTGTTGTAAAAATAGAGAGGACATAATATTCAAATGCTATAAATGTCTGAAAAAGAACAATAGGTTTGAAGAATAAAGAAATAAGCTGATATTTATTGCCTGTCAACAGCCATGACCTGTTATCAGAATGAAATTTCTTGAAAATGAACCTAGATTTTAAGGGGACAGGAAGTTTTCCTCAATCATAATGGTGAGAATTCTTGGTGGAGAATTCTTCTCAGTAACCTGCCCAACTAAAATATAATGTTTACAGATGTGGCAAAGAAAATGTTTTTTTTAAAAGATAGTCTTGCTGGAGTAAACTATAGAGGAACTTAAACCATCTTCATAATGAATTACCATCATAATGAAGCCCATTAGATAGATAAATTCTAGGCCCAAATTAAGGTACAACATTGTTATAGTTATTTGGCTCTTGGATGACCTAAAGTAAACTACCTAGTAGTAAATGTATTGCCACTCCATGCTAAGCTATAAATAGTCTCTCATTCCTTGTTTTTCCTCTTCCCTACCTTCCGCTCAGTCAGTTAAAGAGATTTACTAAGATATAGTTGTTTAACTCACAGAAGGAGCTAAACGATAGGGAGTCCAAGAAGAACTGCCTAGCTAGCTAGAGGCAGGGTCCTCAATAGTTCTCACATGGGTGTGAAATGGTGTGAAGGAGCAGATTTCACAAAATCAGTGAATTAATTTATTGGCATCATTTCTCACTTACCAACTATTTTTACCTGTGTTGAGGCACTGTTTCATTAAGTATTTTCCCACTTCCCATTTAATGGTCCAGGTGCATGCTTCACATGGCTTTTTTCAATGTATAATGTAAGTAGTAGTAGGTGAACTATCTCTCAAATCATTGCAGTGCTCTAGGAAAGGAAATAACCTGCATTGGCTCATGTTCATTCCATAATGCATCTTTACTTGATAAGCTTAACTTAGTGAAAGTATTCTTTGTTGTGCAATTAATAAGCAATAGCCAATGAAGGATATCTTTCTAGAACTGGTTATGAAGACCAGTTCCAGTTTTATAAGATCGGCTTGTGCAAGACATTCCAAGTTTAGAAATCTTAATAATTTACTTAATTGTAGAACCTTGGGCCCACATTCATTCACAAATCATATTTGTGTGTTTTTTGTATTTATAAAACAAAGCAAAAAGAAAGCCACTACAGTGAGCCCTAATCAGATCAGGCCAGTGGGGGGAAGATACCATCCTCCCCAACCTTTCTCTTATTGTTTGATGAAAAGTCTTCCTTTCTGCAAGCTAAAGGGAAGCCAACGGCTTATCTCTTAGACAAATAGCAACTTCAGAAGGCCAGTTTTCCTTTAAGAAAAGAAGGTCCTTCTATTCACTGCATAATCAATCAGGTATCTCTGCAAGTCCATATTTTAGTATTTATTCCTTTGTTAAAACTCAAAAAAGAAAGAAAGAAAGAACTTATGATAGCTTCAACATGCACCCATTTATTTAATTATTACTGTTATTTAAGCATTCAACAACAGTAAAAAAAAAATCAGTATAAGACCATATAATAAAGCAAAATGTTTTTTAAAAAATCCACAATGCAAAGTAACAGCATAGATCTAGGGCCATTTAATAATTTCTATATCATTGTGTAATTTGAAAGCTGGGTTAAGGATGGCTAATAAATAAATCTATCTTGCCATAATTATGGGTTAAATATTTAGATATATTCCACTAATACAGTTGCTTCACTGTATTCCAGTGTACACACTTTGTATTTTGTGTGAATTCATCTTTAGCAGGATGAATGTCAGGCAGGTACAGTAGACTTTTTATAAAAGTGCTCTAGATATGCCTTGGTAGGATCTTGCATGATCTATATTTAAAAAAAGTAAAGCTAGTGTTTTCAGTTTCATCTGGAAAATATTCACATTGTCAGATTAAATGCAAACGTTACCAGAGCAAACATTTCCATCTGGAAATTTTGGGATAGATCAGGACAAGAAGCGTATGTGTCTTCTAAATCAAAGATGCAAAGATCTTGTAACATTGGTGTAAGAGAGGATTAGAAGCCATACCCTGACATACCTTAGGGCCGTGATCACGAACCTATGACACATATGCCAGAAGTGGCATGTAGAGCCCTCTCTGCTGGCATGTGCGCCGTCACCCAGGTCAGATCTCCGTGGCGTTTCTTTCCTGAGCTTCTGTTTCCTTGCAAACGACAAAACAGAAGCTCACGAAAGAAAAAGATCTTACCTCTTGCTGTGCTACTGGTGTTGGGATACCCCGCCTCCAGTCAGCCAGCTGGTCTTCGGGTCTCTGCTGTGCATGCGTGCATGTCTGCGCATGCACATTTGTGCACACCTTTCAGTTTGGGCATGTGCACCGTGCAGTTTGGGCACTCAGTATCTAAAAGGTTCGCCAGCACTGCCTTAGGGGTTTCAGATATTTGAAGTAAATCCCATACAATGGGAAACAAATTTCATACAATTAGTTATCTGAATCAAAAATCATTTGGTTACTCCTTTCCTTTGACCTTGGTTTCCTGTGAGATCTTTTCATAACTAGTACCATGTATGCAGTAAACCTTCTGGCCAAATGTTACTCGGCCCACATTGTTCTGAGAATACCCTCAGCAATGATCAAAATTAGGCCGTGCTAATTATGTCAGTCCTTTACCCATGTCCCCCTTCCCTTTAGATCAGTGGTGTCAAACTCGATATCATTGAGGACTGCATCAGGATTATGTTTAACCTCGGGGGGCCATGGGGGCCATGGCCAGCATAATATAACTCATGTCGGGGGCACCTGTGGTGGCCCGAGTGCTCTGCCAGCGAAAACTGGCTTCTGGTCCCTGTTTTCAGCCACAGTGGCCTCCTGCAGTGCTCTGCCAGCAAAAATGGAGCTCCCCCAAGCTCCGTTTTCACTGGCAGAGGGCTGCAGGAGGCCGTCACGGCCGAAAACGGAGCCTGGGACAGCCACGCTCAGCCCTCCCGAGTTCTGTGCCGAGTTCAGTGCCTCCCGAGGCACCACAGGCCGGTTCTTCATGTTTCCAGGGCGGTCCCACGGGCCAGATCTGAGCACCCCGTGGGCCGGATCTGGCCTGAGGGCCTTGAGTTTGACACCCCTGCTCTAGATACTGATGTGTAGAAGAGACTAATGTAATTGGCCCAGCAAACTGCAGCCTTCTGCGATGGAGCTCTTGTGGACTGGACAAATATTACCAGCCATGATAATATTGGAATCGGATGCCAGTTTCAAACCCTCGGTTCTCTTTCCTGCCTGTTTCATGGAAACATGTCTCTACTTGTTCCCTTGCCAGCTGTGTTCAGTTTGTTCTTTGCTTCCCTACACACACCATGCTGTTTTCACTCCTCTGTGCTCCTTCCCCTGCGTCTCTCTTCACTTTTGTGCCTTGCATCCCTTCCTCTTCTCTGTCTGCTTGGCCCTTGGAATGCTGATCTTGCCCAGTGGTTGCAACAAGCCTTGTGATGCAGTCTGGGGGGTGGGGGTGCCTGCTGGGAGGGTTCTGGTTGCACTCCAGCCACATCTGACTTCAGCCTCTCTCCACTGATCTTGTTTGCAGTGAGCCTATGAATTTCTCATGCCCTCTGTGTGTGTGTCTCTCTCTCCCCCCCACCCCCTCTCTATAATATCTCCTTCTGGCACTTTCTCTTTTTCTTTCCAGTCTTTCTCCTGTTGCTGCCTGATCTTTCCTCCATTGTCAGCTTTGGCAACTCCAGTCCAGTGCCTTGTCCTGTGGGTGTGCTGTTTCTCCCTTACTAATGTTTGTGAGTGAGTGAATGTGTGTGTGTGTGTGTGTGTGTGTGTGTTTCTCTGTCTTACCCACTTCTTTCACTCTATTTCTGTTCTATCAGGAGGCACCATGCAGATCCTGTAATAGAAGACCTTCTTCCTTTTAAGCCTTTTTGTGTCTCTTTGCTTTTCTTATGACTGCAGCATTCATGAACTCCCAGACAGCTTTGCAGCTGATTCAGTATAGTGTGGTTGCAAAAATAACTTCGGATTTGTCATAACTTCTGACAACTGATCTCACACATATGCTTACACTTTCTCTAATATTACACACCCGTACACACACTTATTTTTAATCTTTTTTTTTCTTCAGCTATTTCAGTCTCTTTTATCTGTGTGTGCATGTGCTAGTCTCTATTCCAGGTATACACCAGCAGCATGTCTAGTTCTTTGCATGTGTCCAGTCTGTCTCGGAGTATAACCTTTCTAGCTGAAACTTCCCACGGCTTGGTCTGTCCTGCATATGTCTAACAAGCTTGAACCTGCCCCTGTATGTTATTTGTTTATTGCTCTATTTCTTGATAGCAGTATTTTTGATTCTGGAAGGATGAGTGTGTGACAGATACATCTGCATGTTTGGATACCTACAGATGTGCATGTGATAAGCCATTGCAACAGTTCATTGGTGCGTCTGACACTTTGTGTTACATCGAAAGAGATTCATATCTCATCATGGTCTTGGAAGTTTTCTCCCTTAGCATCTGTCTGATATTATTTGTCTGTCACCGAACGCTTTGTCTGTATATGTTTCTTCGGTTCTTTTTATGTCTCTGATTGACAACTTCAGTGAGTCTCTTCTGCTGACAAGATTTAAGCCTGGCGTTGTGGTTGAAAACAGCCAGCTTTAGGCTTACTGCTCTACAAGCCTTTCTCTGCGTTGGGAGATCTGCTCTTTTTGGAGCTCCTTGTGTAACATGCAGGAAGAGCCCCCAGCATGTATTCTTATAACTGAGACTGCATGCATGGCTTCTATTTTGGAAGGCCCCAGTAGGAAGTGGTAGGAAAGGCTCTGCCGGACACCACTGAAAATTGCATCCCATCAGAGCAAATGCAATTGCCTTAGACGGAAAAATAACCCCATCATCCTCAAGGCATTCATTTGTTCTGGATGATTTTTTAAGAATTTTGCCCTGAATGGACAAACAAAACCTACCACCCCAGGCCATTCTTGGGCACATTCAGCCCTGTGGGTAGTTATTTCTTGATTATGCTAGATATATTGATTGTCACATGTTAGAGTAATAAAAGCCATTGCTTTTCAAAAATCTCCTTCTGATGTTTTTTAATTATCAACTGTGACTTCAGAAATTGAAAGTGGCATTCCTATTTTCCTCCCAGCACCAGTCACTAGGCTTTATGATGGGTGACCTTTTATGCCTTGGTTAACATTCAGGGCCCAGCACTTCCTATGCCACTATGGGAATAGACTTGCTCTACTTCTGGCAACCAACACAGAGGTATTTCTTTAACATTTTGCTCCTTCCAATCATGGGGGTTAGTGAAGAGAAATACTACCATTCTGTGATGCACTTTCCCTGTCTCTGAGGAAACATATAGAGCATCACAAATGATACACAGTAATAACTGTGGATTATGGGAGTGCTATAAATATTTTAAAAATATAAAACTCTTCCATAAAATCCACACAAGGGGCCTCAAAAGAGCAGGTTTCTGGCCAAGTAACACATACTGCAAGTCCCTCCAAATGAAAATTTAACACTTCAAACAAAGGACATCTACCCTAGATTTGTTCAGTGTTCAGTATTTTCCTCACATTCAGAAAAATTGGAGTGGAAGAGGGCAGGTTTTCTAGCTTTCTACCTTTAAACGTAAAATGTATTTAAACTCAAGAGGAATATTATTTATTTAACTGGGCACTAAATACTGCATTTGTTCTTCAACTTATCCAAAAAAAGTGTTCCATAAATTCTATTCCATGTCTTTGTATATCATATGTGAATCCTGATATGTCTTTGTTAAATGTCCAGCCTCTGGAAATTGTAACTAGCTCTCTCATTCTGCATCCATTGTCCCAAATAGTTTTTCAGACAATAAGATATTTATATCTCTCCCCCTATAGATGCCCTTTTCACATCCTAATGCCCACCAGTTCCTCTCATTTTTTCCTATCTCACATCTCTATCCTAAAATCCAAACTTTCTCATGCCAGATGTAATAACATCCCATCCTGACTAACTGAAAACATTAGATTCTTTTAAGTTTGCTAAGGCTTGTCAGGAGGAGAGGACCACTGATTAAAATAAAAGCCAATGAGAAACATATTTCATGTTTGAATCCCCTGGTAGGAAGAAGAAGGAGGCTAGGTTTTAAGTATGCTTTAGTGAATCTATAATTCAAACTAGGTGTGTTGGACATGTGGAATAAGTCATGTTATATGGAGATCCACACTGAATGTTTTATTAACAGGTGAAATAAGTTCTTATCTGTACCATAGGTGTTACTTCTCAGCTCAACTTGAGAGTCCATAGCTATGCTGTTGTAGAGACACAAAGGAAGTCAGGACTTGCCAAGATGCTTTTGGTTAGCAATTTCCCTCTCTGCTGCAAAAGAAGTAAGCTGGAAGGCAGTTGCTACATATGCTATCATTAATACAGCTCAGTGGGGCATAATCAGTGGATAATAAGATAATACTGCAACAGCTTGATTCATCTGGCAAAATGTAGGCTACAGTGGAGAGGTTTAACTCAGGTTGTGTCATGTTTTGGAGTAGAGATATGATCTGTCACAGACAATCTATCCTAGCTTTTTGACTCTGCTCCTTTTTTAAGGCCTTATGAGATATCCCTTTGTCACCCAGCACTCAGGTTCCCTAGGTGCTCTGAGTACACTGGCTGAGAAACCATCTGGCTGTACGTCATCTCAGAAATTGCCTGTCAAGGAAAGTAAACAAAAGCACTTCTCTCTTTGACAGAGGGAATTTTGTGTTTGGAGAAGGTTAATGGCCTGTGAGGTAGGAAGGGAATTGGCAGCAAGCTCCACAGCAAATCCAACCAGCATTCATGATTTGGCATGAGATAATGAGAGCCAATGTGGTGTAGTGGTTAAAGTGCTGGACTAGCATTAAAGAAATCCAGATTCAAGTTCACCAGGAAACATCACAAGTTGACTTAGAGCCAGTTCTTTCGTTCAGCCTAAAATCTGACCAGAGTTTTTGGTATGGTGATAAATAGAAAAACTACTTTGAGCTTCTGGAGAAAAAGCAGAATAGAAGTCTGAAAACAATATGTTGTTTTTATCATCCTTCTCATTAGTAATCATTACCAGAAAATACTGAGCAATACCACTTAACAGTATATATCAGAAAAAAAATGGGCCACAAATGAAAGAGATCATGATAAATTCAAAACTATATACCAGTTGTTTAAATGATAATACTGCATAATTATTGTTACTTTTCTACTGTTGAATGGATCTACCATAATATATGCTCTTTCTCCCTATTACAAATATTGTGTTTTTATTATATTCAAAACATATGTAAAGGTTTCCCTTCTCTCCCACAGATTACCCTCTGGAGGGAAAGTTGTCAACACAACACCAGTGCCAGGTCAGACCCAACATGAGGACACTGATCACAAAACAGAGCCCCGTTCATCTGTCTCAGACCTTGTAAATTCCCTTACTAGTGAGATGTTGATGGTAAGTGTTGATAGTTTTCCCCTGGTTTTATAATATCTGTTGATGCATGACTTGGAGAAAGGAAAGGCCTCTGTATCCCTTTACCTCTTTTTCCTCAAACTATGTCCACCCCACAGCAAATGGTGCCTGTCACCATCAAATTAAACATGGCATATTTTCAAAATCCAAAGGAAAGGCCAGAATGTTTGAAGATCCCCAGATCTTGAGATTTCAGTGAGCTCATATGAAATCTGATGAAATTGTGCAATTCATGCAAGACTTGCCAGAGAAACTCACAATGAGACTACCAAAATCTTGAGAGATGTAGCCTTCCAACAACATTTGAAGCAACTTTGCAAAGGTTGGTCATTACACAAGCTAGCACAACATTGACATGGACCTGAAAAGGATGTTCAACTGTTTTAAATGCTAGCTGTACATTCTCCCCATGAAAAGAACTACATAAACTGTATAGATTGTGTCAGCTATAAACTCATCTTTGAAAATCTGACTCTTTCCCCTATTTCCACTGTAGCATCTTTATTCCTTGTCTTTTTTCATCTCCCCATTGAGCCTTTCCCCATTGTACTAACCATTGCACAGATATCCCCATCTAATTTTCTGCTTTCATTTGAGGCAGCCTTAATTTATTCCTCAGTTTCTGTATTGCTAAAAGAGTGTTCCCCTGTTAATCAGGCAACAGTTTTGGCACTTTACTGTGGGTCACTGTACTGCACTTCATTGACCATTTTAATGTTTTTTCCTCCTCCCTATTGTTACATTTTGTAGCAGGATTGCTAAAGTAAATTCAAAAATACAAAAGGTAAACAGTGAAACAAACAATAAAGCATCATAAAGAATACACTTCAAAAACACTAAACAAAAACAGAAAAAACTCCAAAATTAAAGAACCCACAGGGAAAAAATTAAAATCTATACACACACGCGTGCACACACTGTAGTGTGCAGCTATTGTAGTCATTAGCTATTCTTTTCAATATAAGTTCAAAAAATTCTGTTCCAGAGAGTTGGCTGGGTGAGGATGTACAAACTTATTTTCCCTCTTGCTTCACTGTTGCGATACCCCCAACACCATCATTGATCAATTGCTAAGGGTTTGGCCTTTGGTTAAAAACTGTCTTGATTTAGCGGAAGAGACATACATGGGAGTGTTGGGTGAAACAGTACAAGAGGCCCCTATCCTTTCCTCTGCCCAGACCTCACCTGTATCACCTGTCATTACTGTTGAACATGACTTTAATACTCTGAAATGATGACAAACATGTGTGTATTAGTAACCTAAATAACAGGCTCAAACAGGATGCACATTGCCGAATAGAACAGAATAGTTCCTTTCCATGCAGACCTCTGGGACACTTGTCACCCAGGTTTGGTTTGAATTTTGATGGCTGGCTAAATCCACCAATCTAGCCATCTGTCAAAACTGTCCAATCTCATCCCATGTTAAGGATAAGGTTGGATGGAATTTTCCCCTCCTACAAGTAAAGTTTAGTAAGAGGAAAGGGCAACAGGAGAATCTGCCAGTCCTTTAGCATGTCCAGCATGCAATAAATGAAGACACCACCTTTTGCCAGTCACAAGCCTAGAGCAAAGTAGGATTGTCTACAGGGGCAGCAGTTGTTATGCTGCTGATACACTTTTCTGCTGGGTGAATAATATTTTAAATGAGCCATGAGGAAGAGCCCATTAACTTGGTCCTGTTTGCTAGGAATTGATTAACAAGCTAGTCTAAACAGAGCACAGCAGGCAAAGAACTGGCTTCTGGAGCCATTAAATGACCCATCCAACGATTTAATGGAGTTGCTGGAAGAGGAAAGGGAGCCCAAGGCTACAAACTTAGACCCTTATATCATGATCAACAGGCAACCTTCACTTATGTCATTCCTCTTAATAAATCCAACAGAATGCAAGACAGATGCACTTGACCTATAGCAAGCTTAAACCAAGTAATATATTTGTATGAGGACTGTAATATGTTAAACAATATATTAATATGTTACTAAGCTGCTTTAAATACCTTTTGTTTATCACATTGATCCTTTTGAGATCTCCCTCCCTTCCTCCCCCCTCTCCCCCCCCCCCCGCGCCTCTCTCACATACATCAGCTTTTTAAAAAGTTATTATTGTATGGTTTTATCTCTTCTTATGCATACTGTTTTGTTAGACTAAAAATTGAAAGATCCAATTCTGTGTTTAGTTTGTACTTTGGTTTGCAGTTAAGAAAAAAAGCTAACAGAGAAGTTCTATACTGGAACTTCTATTATACTTTATAATAGCTGGGAGGGGGGGTGTCGCATCACCTCTTTTAATGGAACTTGAAGCACATCAGTACAGAAAAGGTATACTGTCAAATCATTGCAGAGCAGCCTTTCCCACCTTGGTGTCCTTCTGGGAAATTGAAAGTGATGGAAGTTGTAGTACTGTAGTACCCATTTTGGAGATAGTAGCCTCAAACTCGCAATTTGAATAGAGGGATATACAGTATGCTAGAGGCTTGCATTTCATATCCTTAGTTCATTGTTTCTTTTCTTACAAAGCATGTCAGGGTAGCCATTAATAGTGTTCCTTATTATTGGGTTTTACTAGGAACTTGGAATGGGGTTTTTTTTTCCCTTCCGGGTCTAAGCAGGCAGGATAGGATATATTTTGTTGGTGTAGCCACTAATGCTGCAGTAGCACATTTATTGACTGATTGGTGAAATGTGAATTTATGCCCAAATTTCCAATATTCAAATTGGTTTAGAGAAATTAAAAATACGGTGAAGCAGAATTACTACAATGAAAAGCGGTCGTTAAAATTATTAGCAACTAAAAGTTCGATGGAAAGATGTATTTTAACATCTTAAATACTGGGAAAGCAGGAGGCAAATGCACTTCCCTATGAAGCTAATTCCATAACCTGGGAGACACGTAGCCTCAACAGCAGAATGGGGGCATCCTTCATATGTGGAAGATCTGTGATTGTTCCTCACAGAGGCACTTGATAGAGGTTTATAAGCTGAGGAGAAAGTGGAAAGTTAATAATTGTCAACAGATACAACCTCCCATCCAAGTTCACACAGGATTTGATTAATGAATTTCTCTACCACAAATTGTGACAATGTTTGAAGAGGACTTTAGGCAAATGTTTGGAAGGCAAGGCCATTAGTGATTACTGGGATTCCTATATACCATCTCCTGAGTCAGAGGTAATAATACCCTGGAGACTATCAACGATTGGTTTTTCAATTTCCTGGAGACGTCTCTTTGGATATTATAGAAAACAAGATACTTTACTCTGGTTATTTTTTTTTTTAAATTCTAGAAGCTTTCTTTTTGGAGAGGCTGACATTCTATTTATGATCAAATCAGAAAATGACATTAATCTATATTTTCTTCATTATAGGAAGATGCAAATACTTTAAAATTGACACATTTATAGTATAACAACTATATTACTTATATGTTGATTGACATGTCATTTCCTTAATTATACCATTCCTGAAACATGAATCAATGGGTACGTAGGTGTCAATTGCACACGGGGGAGGGGGGAAAGACATACAAATGGAACAGATCAAACCATGAATTATAATGTGATCTTTTTTTAAAATTTAAAACATAGAATATCAGAGTTGGAAGAGACCTTGGAGGTCTTCTAGTCCAACCCCCTGTTCAAGCATTCAGACAAATGGCTGTCCAGTCTCTTCTTAAAAACCATCATTTGAAAGTGATGGAAAATCCACAACTTCCGAAGGCAAGCTATTCCACTGATTGATTGCTCTCACTGTCAAGAATTTTCTCCTTAGTTCTAGATTGCTTCTGTTCTTGATTAGTTCCCATCCATTGCTTCTTGTCTTGCCTTCTGGTGCTTTGGAAAATAATTTGACCACATCTTCTTTGTAGCAGCCCCTCAAATACTGAAACACTGCTGTCATGTCACTTCTAGTCTAGAGGTTTCACTAGACTAGACATATCCAATTTCTGCAACCATTCTTCATATGCTTTAGCCTTCAGCCCTCTAATCATCTTTGTTGCTCTTCTCTGCACTCTTTCTAGAGTCTCACATCTTTTTTATATCGTGGTGACCAAAACTGGATGTAGTAATCCAAGTATGGTCTTAACAAGCCCTTATAAAGTGGTACTAGAACATCATTGCATTGGCTTTATTGGCGGCTGCAGCATGCTGCTGGCCCATATTTAAGTGATTGTCCACTAGGACAGTGGTCCCAAGTTTTCCGGCGTGGTGGTCCAGCACAAGGGGGGGAGGACATGATTTTGTGTGAGTGGCAGGCATGCACATGTGCATAGCTCCATCTGGCACATATGTCCACCACTCACACGAGTGGAGCTTTGCACATGGTCACACTCATCCGCCACTTGTGCAGCCTGGTTCTGAACAGGCAGCGGCTCGGTAGTGGGCTGTGGCCAAGGGGTTGAGGACCCTTGCACTAGGACACAGAGCATAGAATATTTATTTATATAACATATTTAGACAACAGCCATCTCCTTCATAAAGCAATTCTAAATGGTGAGAATGTTACACGTATAATCTGGGATTGGAAATGAGACCTTACCTGATATAGCGAATTTCTAATATAAAGCTGATCTACAGTTTCAGAATGATCACATGCCAATTATTTTGTGAATGATCTCACCAATGGTTAAACAAAGTGAAATTGGTTGGCTGGTGATATACATCCATTTGTGAAACAGCTTTGAGAATCAAGTGAATCCACAAGAGTTACAAATGCAATGGAGGTCAATTACACAAAGTCATAGACTGTGACTATCTTTTTATTGCTTCTATTGCTTTTTCCTCAATTAGAATTGAGAAGTTGTGGAAAATTTCTCTCGTGAGAGTTACCAGCTGACACCTCCGACAGTTTTTAATCAGGCTGAAGAAATAGCTACATTTCCCTCACATAAAACATAGGCAATGCATAGCATGTGCTCCCCTCTTGCGGTGGAATTGAGAAGAGCAGCCGTGGAAGAGAGGTAACCTTAGAGGGGAGAAGTGA